TTTAGACTGTCAAATATGCATTCGTATGGAAGTAGAAACTTTAGTTTTAATTTAGACTGAAACACTGCCATTCTTTCAAGTCCACTTTGAAGTGAAGTTTTCTTACCAAATAATTAGATCAAGTTGCCCAAGAAATTTGTCTTTAGTTTTATAATTCTGTGTTTTGAGATTGAGAAACACTGCTATGATTCACAATATCTGGTTATGAAAACCAAATGTATAACTGAATCCTAGCAATTGAATGAAGAGGCTATCTTGAAGTGGGAAAACAGCACCCTTTCCAAAAATTGTTTTTCTATTCAAAACTGCCCCTTCAAACTGCTTTTCTCATGAGATTCCCAACAGTATGAATTACTGATCTGGTCATTCAATTATAATTTTCAGCCGGGCATAAGATGACAAGAAGCATTCATATTTCTAAACCATCACTTGATATTTGAAACTCTAGTACAGGGGTGTCAAATTGGCAGCCCGTGGGCCAGACGCATCACATGTAGGCCACGCCCACCCCAGCTCCATGAAGGGGGGGAAATGTAGCAAAACATCACGTGATAGCAACATGATGCCACAAGTTTGATACACGTGCTCTAGTACAGTGGCCCCCAACCTTTTTTGTACCACGGACTGGTACCGGCATCACAAAATGATCCACGGACCGGTATCGGCATCAGCACGCATGACCAAGGCAAGGCGAGCTGAGTGACCAGCCAGCCAGCTGTCCCCCGCTTCTCCCCGCCACCTTCAACTCCTCCTTTGTACCTTCTTGCGGTCGATGGGCTTTTCGGGCTCTTTTTTAATCTCCTTCTGAGTAACGCAAGACTCCACCGCCATCAGGATGGCTCTTCGTTCGAAGCCGCCACCCACCTCTTCGACAAAACTAAGGTGCAAGGATTCCTTCAGCACCCAAATGCCAGCCGACAAGCTCACCCGGAAGCACTTTCTCAAGCGCCGTTGAAACAAGATGGCGGCGCCCAAGCAAAATAGGTGGCCCGGTACAAAATGGTCCACGGACCGATACCGGTCCGGGGCCCGGTGGTTGGGGACCACTGCTCTAGTAGAATTCCACTAGAATTCACACATCACATTCACTTGTAACATGGTTTGCTAGGTTGTACCTTATTCAATAAATGCTGAACGAACTGCTGTTTATTGAATATCTACATTTGGTTTGGTAAATATAGACCCTCAAAATGCACCCCCAAAATATGGTCACATTATTTATGATTATGTTTATTTACAAATAGTCCCTGACTTTGATTCAGAAGAAGCTTCTTGGATGAGAAGTGAAATGTCTTCAAAGAAAAACAAGAATGTCCAGTTGCCTTTTGAAAAAACACCTTTGGGATTAAGCTGGTCTTAATGCTTCAGCCAAGTTATAGGACACCATATGATCCTATTTTTGAAATGTTCACATTTTCATTTGCAGAGCATTATCTCTTACAGAACATTGTCAGGCACAAATGTTTGGAAATTCTGTGAGAGGCACGCCCAATGAGCAAACTGTCCTACTAGGACAATCCTAGATTACTTTATTCAGTTTCAGTGATCTTAGTCATAACTAAATCTGTAGTCTACTGTGATCACAAAGTGAAACAAATTATTCTGAATTAAGGCAATGAAAAATCTTGGAAAGTTGTTCCACTTTGAGGAAAGCGTGAACACCTCATCCTTTTTCCAAAAGGCAACTGGACTTTCTTGGTATTTTTCTTTGAAAATGGTTAGTTTCTTATCCAAGAAGCTTCTTCAGTTCTGAATGGGAAGTGAAACATTTTCAAAGAAAAATCCAGGAACGTCCAGGTGCCTTTGGGGGAAAAAAACAGCATCTTTGGGGTGTTCCACTGAGAATAGATCCCTTCTAAGATTGAACCAAAATATGGGTACTACTTTGCTTTGCTCTGCTTCTCAGCCCCTTTTCAACACAGCTTCTTTGGCTGTAGTCACCAAACTTTGATGAACAAGCATGGTGGGAGGTTCCATCTGTCTTTTCCAGTCCTATAATTTTTTGATTTACTTTCTCTACCATGCTGTCTCCAAGAAGATGTGTTTTGAGTTTAGTAAGTATGATGGAATGTACTCTGGATTCCTAGGAGAGAGGGGCTTTATTTCAATCCAGAGGACCAAGAGACAGCAAAGTTTAGATTGTTTGGTTGGGAGAAAAAGAGCTAAGGTAGCCTCTTCTTAGCAATTCTCAGAATATATCTTTGAAGATGGAAGTAGTTGTTTTACTTTGGTAAGATTTCTCTCTATCGGTGAACAATAAAGGAAAGTAATTCTACATGTCTTGGTTTTGGGGGCCTGACAGCAAGAGATTAAAAAGAGACAAGAGACTCCAATGCAACATGAATGGCTTCGTTGGTGCAAATTGTGAGGATTCTCTTTGCTTGACATCTCTTCAACACGAATCCCTTCATTAACACAACCTGGGCATGCCTTGTAAAAGTCTACTCTGAAGTCTGTCCATCTTCTCCATTGATTCACATCAGGGTTGGATACAGATATAATGCATTAATATACAACTGATGATGCAGTTCCATGTAGAATCTATTGAACAAGGGTTCAAAATGTTCCAAATGTGGAACAGCCTATCTGATTCTTTGTACCTTTATCTGAAACTCATAATATCACGGGAATTCCATTTCATGTTGTTTTGAATGTTTTATGATTGGCTTGTTCTTTTTTTTTAAACAACACCACCCAGCTATAAAAACTTAGAAAAGCACATTAGCCAATAAAACACCAGGCAAAAGATTTATTTCTACTTCCATTAACTGGAACTAGTTAAGGCAGAAGACGGATGAGAAAGAATAAAAGCACACGTTCAAAGACAATGTCATCTAAAATACTGTTTCCTGCTAGAATATGAGTTGATTGCTCCATTTAAAAATCTGTTATGAGATTGTATTCATGGGTTGTAATTTAATAGGTTTATCCATTGTGCATCTCACTTTCTGCCTGAATTACCTTTTATGGTTCTACAGTACTTAGTTTGTAAGGCACATAACTGCTCAAAAACTTCTCTCTTAAAACCCACATTGATATGGATTAGAGCTGCTGTTCCAAGATGTATCCTGGAAACGAAGGCTATTAATGTATTTTGCATGTGGTTTGAATGATACTTTTATTTCCTGCTTCTATTTTCTTGCTTTGTCCTTAACAAATATAATGTACAGCATTTGTTACACATCTGTGCTTATAGATTTTAGGTCGTGTGATTTATTTATTTAATTATATTTTTAAAAGTGAGTGAAGATTTTCACAAGTTTGTAGCCTTCACCCACAGTGTAGATCAATGTGCAGATTTCTGTATAGTGTCTAAAAATCCAAGTCCATGCATTGTGATTCTTTATAACAAGTTATTTCATTTTTCAAGGTTTTTGTAGTCTTCTAAGATGGAAGGAATCTTAGAAGCAGTGCTACAGTCTAGTCCCTTGATTTATGAACCACAATTGAGATAAGAATTTCTATTAAGCAAGGTGTTAAGTGAGTTGGCCTGATTTTACTATTTTTTTTTACTCAGGTTGTACACAAACCACTGCAGTTGCTAAGTGAATCACACGGTTGTTAAGTGAATCTGGCTTCCCCCTTGACTTTCTTTGTTGGCTGGGAAGGTTGCAAGTGGCAACCCCAGGATGCTGCAATACAAGCGCCTGAATTTTGATCAAGAGATAGTGGGAATGCTGCAACTGCCACAACTTACTTTTTCAGTGATGTAACTTCGAAACAGTCTCTAAACGAATGGTTGTAAATGGAAGACTACCTGGTATTGAAAAGTATCTCAAAAGGCCATTCTGACTGGTGCAGGAACTTTCAGACCCAACCCCTGAAGACTTCCAGAAACGGGAGATATATCTTTTTATAAGGCAAGACTTAGACTAACTTTATTGTCACTTTGAATGTACACTAATCGGCATACATTAAAACGACATTTCGTTGCATACAGCTCTCAAAGGGTCTCCATCTCCAATCTACACTATACAACCATGACAGAATAAATAAATAAATGCAAAATTATGCATATTATATGACACAGAGAAACAACACAGTCTAGTTTGGATGTATATACAGACATGCGAGAAAAACGAATCTTGCAAGTTTACCAGACGGATGACATAGGGAACAAAGCTGTTACAGAATCTGGTAGTCCTGCTAGAAATATACTTCGAAACTGGTTGACAGCTCTCTCACTACTGCCTTACTATATTTGACTGCTACAACCAAAGCCTTGCTGTCTTTCTCAACCTGTAGCTTCACCTCTCTTAGGAAGTGTCTTGTTCTTTGATCTCTACTTCCTTTCTGCAATTTTGCTTTAAGAGTCTATTCCACTGCTGGAATGGGTAGAGTTTTATATTCCTTGTCTGTTTTTTATTTTAATCCCAAACTGTTTATCAAGTCTCTCCCTCAAATGTTTTAACGCTTTAATCCGCCCAGAGCGCTTTGATTCCGCACGATGCAAAAGCAGATTCTCTACCGCAGAGAGATTCCTCGTCGCTCGCAAGGGATCCGACTCCACGTTTGGCCCAAGGCCCAGCACCTTGCCTTGTTTCCCAGGCAGGACGCTCAGGATTAGAACAGACTAGAATAGAGCTGGAAGGGGCCTGGGAGGTCTTCTAGTCCAGCCCCCTGCTCAAGCAGGATCCTCACCCCACTCCACGGGAGGATGAAGAGCGCCAATGTTGTCCCCCCCCCGCGCAAGCAGGGCCGCGCAATGCCTGGCCGTCGGAGTTCGGCGCCTGGATCCCCCGACTCCCCTCCAGCCTCCCAAGAACAAAAGCGGCGGAAAAACCCGAGGGCACAAAGGCAGCGTGTGAACGCGGGGCGGGGAGGAGCCAAGAAGGAGAGCGCGGGGGGGGGGGGGGGGGGGGGGGGCGCGGCCAGCCAAGGCAAGGGACGTTTGGGCATGGCTCCTCCCCAGCCGCCCTCCCCCGAAGCGCAAACCCGGCCTCGCCGCGCCGCGTGTGTGGCGACCGGGCGCGCGGGCTGAAGCCGCAGTATTTAAACAGAGGCTATGAGGCCGGGAGCGGCAAGGACGGTCGACCCAGCTCGCTCGGGAGGCAGAGAGATTGGGGAGGCGGGTGGGGACGGCAGCGGAGGGGAAGAGGAGGAGGAGGAAGGCGAAGAAGCGGAGGAGGATGCTGGCGCCTCCCTTGGTTCTGATACCCCTACGGTTACATGGAGGACGGGGCGCGGGAAAGTTGTAGTGGGGCTGCAGACCGTCCCTTCCCAAAGGCGCGAAGCAAATCCACCATCCCCTATTCCTGACTAGCACCAAGAGGCGAGAGGGAGCAGGCGCCCCTCCCGAGCCAGGAGCCCTCCAAACTTTTCCGCCTCGTTCGTTCGCTCCTCGTTCGCGTTCTGAAGCGACCGTTGCGCTTGGCGCGCCTCAGGCTCTCGGCCGCTTAATTAAAGAAAGAAAGAAAGAAAAGAGAAATTAACGCCCTCTCCGCCTTGCCACCATGCCTTCTTCCTTTCCCTTCCTCAGCTGCTGCTTCTGCAGCCTGGCAGCTTGGCTGCTCTTGGCCGCCCCCGCCCCCGGCAGCGGCGCTCCGGGCGCGGAGAAGGAGGCGGCGGCGGTGGCCGAGGAAGAGACCGCGCTCCGGGTGCTGGTGCTGCTGCCCAAGGACGACGCGTACCTGTTCTCGCTGGCGCGGGTCAGGCCGGCCATCGAGTACGCGGTGCGGAGCCTGGAGGCCAACGGTTCCCTCCTGCCGGCGGGCTACAAGTTCCGCCTTTTCTACAGCGACTCGGATTGCGGCAACCGGGCGCTCTTCAGCCTGGTGGATATGATCACCTTGAAGCGGGAGTGGCCCGACCTGCTGCTGGGGCCGGTGTGCGACTACGCCGCCGCGCCGATAGCCCGGCTGGCTTCGCATTGGAACCTGCCTATGATCTCGGCCGGCGCGCTGGCCGCGGGCTTCAGCCCCAAGACGGGCGAGTACTCGCACCTGACCCGGGTGTCTCCGGGCTACGCCAAGATGGGCGAGATGTTCCTGGCGCTCTTCCGCCACCACAAGTGGAGCCGCGTCCTACTGGTTTACCACGAGGACAAGGAGCAGCGCAGCTGCTTCTTCGCCGCCGAGGGGGTCCACCTGGTCTTCCGCGAGGCCGGCTTGCACCCGGACGACTTCGCCTTCGAAGAGAGCGGCAAGTACGCGGAGGACGTGGTGCGCGCCATCCAGGGCGGCGAGAGAGGTGAGGGCTCGCGGGTTGAGGGGCGGCTGCGTGTGTGTGTGTGTGTGTGTGTCTCGTTCCCAGCTGGATCGCTCGCAGAGCTTTGCGCCCCGTGTCCGGTTTCTTAGCGGGGCTTCTGGGCTGCAAAACGGGGCGTCCGGTGAAACAGCGCGCAATCCAGGACGGGAGGGATCCCGGGGCCACAGTCCCACAACTCCACGCCGGATCCGTCGGTGAGGAGCGTGTGGATGGGGCTTGAATCAAGGATCGGCGCGCGGTGAATCACATGGCTTTGATCCGAATGAGCTCGGGAACCTGCCGTCCTCTCGATGGTTTCAGACCAGAACTCCCGTTCTTGATACACGCCAAATGTTTTCGGAGTTGTAGTCCAAAATATCTGGAGAGCATCGGGTTGCCTGCGGTTCATCTCCATTTTAAGCTTCGTGCTAAATTCATCCTGGGAGGGTGCCACCTCTAGCCGTATTTGCAGAGCTGGTTGCAAATATTTACTCAGAAGTAACTCGGACCGAGTTCAGTAGGTCAGACTTATTCCCAGGTAAGAGGACCCATAGCAATTGCAGCTTCTGCTGCCTCTGATCCGTCCTTGCAAATTCTCTATGGGGTAAGTCCTGTTCCTGCTGGAAGGAAGGAAGGAAGGAAGGAATTATGAATTACAGAAGGCTGAAATATGAACAGAGATGCATCTTGAACCAGATTCAAAGATCTCATTCAAATACACCTGAGAACTCATGGGATTCTCCTTTATCCTTCATCTGTTACTCTCTAGGGGTGCTGCATATGAAAAAAAAAGTTTGCTTATTAGACTTAAACACAATATGGTGTATTAATTTGAAATGTCTGTTTCAAAAAGAAGGAAAATGGAATTTATGACAAAAACAGGTAGCTGCTTTTTTTCATATAAAGGTATAAAGGTGTCTTGGTACCCAACTAAGGAGAAAACATCTAGTCAGTAGGAACATTGGTACAAAACAGGAACCCTAAAACTTCTACTATAGCAATATGCATATTATGAGAGAAGGAGCATAGCATGACCAAGTTACACCTTTCTCCCAAACAAGGCACTTTCCATTTAATTCTCATTCACTGAATTCACATAAATGCTGTCCCATGCATGGCTCAATGGGGTTCTCGATAGCTTGATGCCCTATAGCATATCAGATGATAGTATGCTGCCATAAAATACCACAAAGTATGACAGACTGTAGTAGATTTGTCCTATAACATCAAGTCCTGTGTATCAGCCCATTAAGTGTTCCTATTGGGTTGTGCATATAAATTCACTAATATGAATTCAGTGGAAAGTGCTTTGCTTGGGGAAAAGATGTAACTTGTGCACTGTAGCAACTCTGCAATTCTTATCAAGTGGAATAGTTATTCAAAAAAGGCCAGAGACTGTCAGCATGTCAAAATTTGTACTTGATATTAGTATTTGATTTACATATTTATTTTTCATTTACATTCAATTTAATGTGTGTTCTGTTAGAGTAAGTAAAGAACATGAAAAATGTCTTCAAAAGAGTTGTATAATTTGCCATAAATTACCTTGTACCTATAATTTTCAAAATCCCAATCCAGCACATTTTTGTTTTACTTATCTCCTGCATTTAATTTGTCCACGACAGAGATTGGTGGTGATCTTTCATCAATTTCTCAAGATGATTTACGAGAAAATATAAAAAGCAAAAGCATGCTGATTTTCATGCATTGCTGCCATATAGCTGCATCTAGTCCGCCCCGACACTACCCCAAATTAAGGGATTACAGGGTCATAAAATGGAAGGGGTTTTTTGTTACATATCTTTCGTGTTTACATTCTTATAAAATGAAGAGTGATCGCCAATAAGATTGACTATTTATTCACTTGCTTGAAATTAAGGGTGCAGGTGGATTATAATATTTATTCATTTATTTAAAAAAAATAACTGTTTCTGTATGTTGCTCCAATCATATAACTCTGATCCATACAAAGTTGGAATCTGTTATTATTTTTCTGGTTTATACTTTTTATAAAGTGCCTGCATATATAGGTACAATTGGTACAATTCTAACTACAAATTAAGAAGCTCAAAAACACCAATCGATGGCGATCTCAGTAAATAGTTTCAAGAAGCCAATTCTTAAGAAGCCAAGTTTAATTTTATCTTTGTAAGGAGGAAGGAAATAGTACTTTTGAGGTATTGTAAGGAATTGCAATAGGATAATATACACATGCAAGTTGCTGTAAATTACTGTGTAGATGTGTATTAACTCCTTCATATACTTTTTCCTTTATAGTGCATTTCCTAATGTTTCTGTAGCTTGGGAAATAATAGAATTGGAAATATTTGGAGCTGATCATTTAGAAAAGTGCTCTGGGGTTTATGTTAGCTTCATGTTAAACTATTACCTATGAACTGTGCTTCTCCATGACTACTATGAGTTTGATTGCACATAAGCAATGTACAAATGGATAATTGAGAATCCTAATTTAGGGAGTTATTCAAAGTGCATTCATCATTCATTTGACTGAATTCTTATTATGAATAATGTTAGGAAAACTGGTATATTTCCAATCCATTTTATAATGGATTCTGTTCATTTGTATCATTGCTCTTTTATTCGTTCATTAAACATGAGCATGCATGTTTGTTTATAGTTCTACTTAATAGCATCTAGATTGTATGAAACAAGTGGCTAAACATAAACAATTGCTATGAATTTCCACCTACAACAGAGATGGGGCAAGCCTATCATTGTCTGTAAGCTCAAATGAAACCCAGTCATTTCAGATAAAAATCAGCTCCTGCCTTTCTTTCCAAATTTTATTCATATCTATGGTATGCACTTGCTTTAGAAGTGCATAGTTTTCCCCCTTGTGACTGCTTTGTTACACAAGTGGAAATGCTTGCACATTTACAAGAAGTGCACTTAGATTATGATCTTTAAGCTCCTTTGCTCCCTGGTTTAAAACACAAGTGGTTGTTTGCAGATCCATATAGCTACATTAGCAATTTCCTAGAGATGAAATTTACCCCTATGAGACAACAAGACAGTAAAGCAGTCTATCTCGCCATGCCTCATCAAGAAGAAACCACAAAGTCCCAAGCAGAATCTTACTTTTAAAAAAAATGCTCCAGATGATCAGATAAGTCTGAGTTAACTTCAAAGTTATGTTCCTTTCCTTCCTATGTTACCACCTCAGAATTCCTGTTCCTCCCTTTGCTGTCTTCTCCTATTTCTATTTACTGTTTATATTTGTCAATGAAGAAATGAGCAGGATTTCCCTCCATTTCTTCCTGTGCTTCCGTTGGCTGTCTTCCCCCAAAGTTTAGCTCATTGTCTTGTTATTTACCTGCGTGGATGTCTTATCCAATCTGTTGCCCTCCAGATACGTTGGAGGACATCTCACCTGTAGCAGGGCTATGAACTGTGGATCATGATGATGCACAAGGATACCTTCTGGAAATTGTATTATTATTTGCTTCAAATATTTCTTTCACAATATCAGTCTTTATTTTTCTCACCCTGCCTCTGTTTTTCCTGTTTTTATTCAAAATAGGAAGTTGTTCTCTGGTAGGAGAACAAAAGTCATGGATGACTTTTGGACTCCTTTAGTTCAGTAGGACTAATAAGCAAGGAAGTCCGTGTGTTACAATAAATGGCGGGTTCTGCTGGATTGTTCGTGGCATGGACTTGTCAACCAATTGCCTGAAATAATAACAACCAGAACAGCCCTATTATTTTGTTGCAGCTGAAAACAAGGAGTAATTTGGGTTCACCAAAAGACTCAAGACATTTACTGAGGCATAAACAACCAATGAAGTGGACTGTAGTTCACAAAAACTTGTGCTGTAATAAATATGTTATTCTTTAAGCTCCCCTGGAGTCCTTGTGGTATTTATGAAATGTGGATCAAGTCACAAGGGTTGAATTCATAGCTGTCCTGATAAATACACAGTTGCCCTTAAAGAGATCCTACTCAGGAAATATGTTAAGCATTGCAGAGTAGGAGCCCATATCTGTAAAAAGAATATCCCAAACACAGGAATATAAGAAAGTTACAGTAGTATCTGACATATACCTTATGCCAGTGATGGCTAACCAGGGGTGGGATTCTACAGGTTCATACCTATTTGCTAGAACCAATTGTTAACATTCTAAGCAGTTCAGAGAACCGGTTGTTAGAAGAAATTACTGGCCTAATCCTGTAAGGAAGGCAGGAAGGAAACATTCTGGTGTTGCTTACAGAAACTGCCTCTCCATTAACCCTTATTACATTCTTGGCAGGACTAGACTTCCTGTCTCAGGAACGTCTCTGAAGTTTTTTTTCCTTCCTTTACTGGTACTTTGCTTGTGTGGAGTGACTATTCAAAGTTACAATGGCACTGAAAAAATGACTTAATGACCGTTTTTCACACTTACAACTGTTCCAGCATCCCCACAGTCATGAGAGGCCAGGCGAAGAGATGCGTGCCTCAATGTGAGTGATGTTGAGTTGGCCACACCCAGCCAATAACATGGCCATCAAGCCACGCCCACCACCTAAGCCATGCCCACAGAACCAGTTATTAAAAAATTTGAATCCCACCTCTGGTTACAACTGAAAAAAGGTAGACAAAATAGACCAAGAAAAGCTTTGAATCTTCATGCTTAAGTGTCTGGATAATTTTTTTTCATTTCTGCGAAGTTTGAAGCACAGACCATGGAATAATTGGACCACGCTTGTAAACTTTTGCAAATATGACAGCACTTGGCAGAATCAATCGTTGCCACTGTGTGGGTTCCTCCAGAGGAAGATCTAGGTGTTCAAATGACATCTGAATTTATCATAGAATCATAAAATTAAAACTGATCTCAAACATAACCTTTGTCCAATTTCTGTTTGGGGTCAGATCTGCTAAAGCATTTTTGTTAGCCGGTGTCTTTGAACACTTCCAAGGAAGAGGAACACAGCCGCTTCTGAGGCAACCAGTTCTTGCCATGAGAAAATTTCCCCTGATGGCTGTATGGAATACCTGTAA